GAATCTACTATATTTCTACAGGTTACACACAGATTAAAAAGGAAAAAGAATGTGCTTTAATACCCAGTAAAAAAAATATTTAAAAAATCAAAAATATTCTAAGGAAAAAGCCACCAGGAGTTTTTTCTTGGTGGTTCATTCAGTCCTATTGCAGTGAATTCCTACTCTGCTGAATCTTACATTAGTCATCATACACTGCCTTTTTTTTTTTTTTAACCTAAAAAGGTTCCTAGAAATCTTATCTCAGTCCGTCCACGGAGAAATCCTGAAAGTTGTCTATGACTGTGAGCTCAACTTTTAAGTATTAGTGGTTAAAGTACAGGTACAGTTCTTTTCCAAGAGATCCTAAGACTATCCTTGCTTGTTGAAAGCAAAAATCCTGGCCCACTATCTATAAGAGAATTCAGGGTAGCATTAAAGTAAAATATTACTATCTGTAAGTAATCGGACACCCAAATGACTGTGTTTTAATCATTATTAAAATTTTAAGTGTGAACAGTCAGGTAAAGATTCATAACAAGAGTACAGCAGAAAAAAAGTTTAGTTCTTTCTGTGGCATAGAAAACAAAAAATAAAGCCACTACAAAAAAATATTACATAAAGCATCTCTAACGAAAACTATTAAATCTACTTTTAAAATCTGGGAATGATATATCTAATCAAAACTATCTGAAAACAATTTTACTGAAGGGAAAAATCTTGAAATAAGACCTCAACATATATAGTGTTTAAACAATTGAAATTATAGCTGATGACATTATATATATTTATGTAACATAACCAGTCAAAGCACTGCTAGAACTCTGATAAGCATAAGAAAACCTGATGGAATATTCCTAAGAGTTGCAATCAGTGTTTTCTGTGAGGTTAAATATTTGTAAGACACTGAGGGCAATGACAGCACTCTAGGCACTTCTCATAAAGTGTGTAAAATGTCTGAAATATTTGTTTATAATGCCCTATATATTCACACTAACCTGGGAGAAGCTAAGTATCGCTTCTGATTTGACAGTTCTTCCTGTGGAATTTCACAAACAAGATTACTTATTTTTAGCACCTTTGTTTTTAGTGAAAGGCAAAGTCTTTGTGACTTTTTTCCAAGGTCCCTCTGGGAAATCTCAAGTAAGATATGCTGAAAGTGTAATTTTTTCCTACATTTCAAAACTCATTATGGAATGGCAAAAGTCAGGAAAAAATTATCAGAGAATATCTGGACACTAAGACAAGTTCAGAGTGTCAGGGAAATACTGAAGTGATATTTAAATAAACATTTTAAACAATAAAATGTTTAAAAACAAACAGATGTTAATGTGGTTATAAATAGCCTTAGCTCTTCAAAAGTGTGGAATCTTTGTTCCTTTTATTTTTTCTTTTTTGAAAATAAGAATGTAACAAATAAATGCAAAGAACAGAAAATTCTTCTTATAATACACAGAATCTTTGCTATATAAGCAGGTTACACAAAGGTTTTTGAATGCTTTTCATAGAATAGCCAAAGGAAAAATCAATAAGCCAAGAAAGCAAGGCCATTAATCTTGAGCAAACTTTACTCACACTTTTTGCACATTTCAGCTTCTTTTCAGACCCAATTACTACAAACCAAGGCAAGAAATTTTATTTCCAAAATTTGTCATTCTTTTTATTTTCTCCTACCATAAATTCTCCTAGGATCCATGAAAACAAAACAATTTTACTTTAATACCCTGGTAAATCTTGCTAATTATCAACTATAAATCTAAAAGATTTTTGAACTCTGTGATAAGCCTCAAGATTGTAGAAGTGTTCTGAAATGGGCAGAAAACTCTGAAAACTACATGGTGGGGGGCAGACAGAGAGAAAGAGACAGAGAGAGCGGGAGAGAGAGCTAGGGATGGAAGAAGGGAGGGAAGGAGAGAGAGATTACACTATTACTGTGTATACCATTGTCCACTGCTGCTCTATACAGTACTACTACCAACCCCCTCCTATGGAAAAAATCTACACTCTATTTAAAACACATATGTAGAAAGCAATTTTGTTCAGTTCCCATTATTCCTAGCATGGTCTCAACTATTCCTACTAAAAGTGACGTTTAATCTAGATAACTTCTATTTCACAGAGGGGACTGGAAGTAGAAAATCAAGCACTATTTTTCACACGCAATTTAGCAAACCAGAAATTTTATATTACAACTTTTTGTATCTATACACATATCTTTTTAATCAGATAAATTATACTTTCAGGAACCAAAGACAGGCACTTTCCATAAGCAAAAGTACATAAATTAAAAATTATGCTTGTTAGGCATCAAGTTTCCAGAATTCCTACTTAGAATTATTAGTAGATACTAGATGAACATTCATTATATAATTCTCATTAATACCATTTTAAAAGTTTTTGTTACCTAAAGATTTTGGGAAGTATATTCAAGTTGACATATTTTAATTACTGTGGTAATAAAGTTTTCAGAACAATTTTATTCAACTGAATACATTTTTGCATTTCTTGTTATTTTAAATGCTGTATATAACATTAATTTACTTGATGAATATACCTCAATAAATTTGAGAAGTCTACCAAAAAGAATAAAATGTTTATATTATGCCTAATAATATAAAATAAATAATAAATAAATTTGAGAAGTCTACCAAAAAGAATAAAATGTTTATATTATGCCTAATACTGATGAACCAGAAAACACAGTTTTGTATTAAACCAAAATTATACCAGGCATGGTGGCGCACACCTGTGATCTCAGCACTCGGGAGGTTGAGGCAGGAGGATCCTTACGAGTTCGAGACCAGCTTGGGCTACAAAGTGAGCTCCAGACCAGCCTGAACTGCATAGCAAGACCTTGTCTCAAAAAGACCAAAATAAATAAATATATAAAAAATAAACCAAAATTACTACACTAGTCTTATTTATCAAAGATTAACTGTATTTGCTAGACTTCAAATTTTCAAAAACAATTTTGAGTTTCTGTAAGACTTTTTAAATATTATGCATTTAAAGTATCATAAATTCAGTTTCCTCATTTTCTAGGAATTTTATGACTGTATGATTTACAAAAGAAATTATTTATATAAGAACTCTCTTTAGACCAATCAGGAAAGTGTTACTCTAGAAGATTTTTCAGTCAAATTTATTGCACTCCAGGGATAAGAAAATGTTGTGCATATTCAAGAAGAGACAAAGGTCTTCCTAAATTATAAGCGTCTATACACATGACATACAAACGTCTAATAACTTCAGAGCTCAACATTAGTAACAGATCAAAAGCAAACATGCAAAAAGAATCATCAGTTCATATGTGAAAGAGTTGTTCTCATCCCTGAAGACACAAAATTCTTAATTTGAGCTTAAAATAGACAAGAAGACAAGCAATAAAAATACTGTACTATAAAAATAGATTCCCTGTTATATGCCACCCAGCAGAAAGTAAACCTCTGTAATACATTAATCTATCTACAGTGATCACAGGAAACTAAAGCCAAATTCCAAATCATTGCTGTCATGAGTAGGGAACAACTTATCAATTGTAAGCATTTCAAAGGCTAAAACAAACAAAAGAAACAGTAAAAATACAGAGTAAACAGAGGATCAGTGAAGTTAATGTCTTATTGCTACTGGGGATTTACCTCCAGGAACCTAGAAAAGAAACCCATATTCAACCTGTCAGGAGGTGTAAACACTTTCCTACAACCAGCGCTGCTCTGCCCTCAGAGCAGACTTCCGGCATCAGCAGGAGCCCCTCCTAAAAGCTGCAAGAAAATTTTCTAAAAAGGATATAGTTGTAACTCTCATACAACTACAAAACAAATCTGCTACAAATTCCATTCAATTCATTCATTATAGAAAGGACCTGAAAGTGAATACACTCAGTTCAAAGGAGAATTCAAATACCAGCAGTATATACAGGGTAAAATGAAATAGATTCCTGTGCAGAGAACTAACTAACTGCATTCCAGCGGACATAGCTAACTTGCATCTTTGTAGATGATGATATTGCATGACTGGCAGTTCTCTATGACCTAAAGGACTGAAGGAAAACAAAAGGGAGAGCAGAATTAAGTGAACAGGTTGAGCAATTTGGAAACTCGGGGTTTTGCCCATCTTAAAGACTACAATTTTTCTGACTCCATAAAACACTGGTCCAAAATTTTCTTTTTCAACTGATACAAGAAACTAAGTACTATAAGAAAATCCATACCAAAGCTGCACGTTAGCCCCAGTTCTGTTTCTTACCATTATTCTACATGATACAAGGGAGACCAAGTATCAGCATATTTTTGCATATCAAATATGCAGAAATCCCAATGGCTAATATTGTCCAATTGTTGGTATTGTGTAACTCGTTTAGAATGTTTCCTCTCCAAGAATTTGCTTCATCCAAACCTCTCTGTTCTCTTTTCATTAACACCACATTAGCGAATAGTTATTCTCAGAGTTGCTCCCAGGGAGCCTATGAGCATGACTGACAGTACTGAATAGAGGTAAGTGAACCAGATCATCATTTGAACAGATTATAATATGAGGGAGGGAAAAGCAGATCAGCTGGTTTTAAACTTTTATGAAAGAAGTTCTTTATGAAACCCACAGTGGAAAGTTTCTTCCACTAACTTGAGCCAAACGTGAGACATTTTGTTTGATAAACTAAAAAATCAAGGTAGGATTCTTTCTGATTTATAAAACTTCAGAATCACATGTGTTCCTTAAAGCTCTCACTAGAATTCCTACAACATTAGTGAATTTTACGCTTCATCAGAGTCTAGACCAACGTGAGCTTAGAACACTACATTGACCCCACGTACTTCAGTAATATCACAGCCCGGGCCCACAAAGCTCCTAATAGGAATCCTCACTGCTCCTGAGAAAAAACATTCATGAGGGAAACATGTAATGGTCTCCTTGAAAACAGCCTTTTTAGCGAATTCTGTTTTCTGAAACACTGAAGCAAAAGAATATTCATTTGATGTCACTGTTGCACAGCCTTGACTAACCATGGAATTTGTGCATTTTAGGACCATCCAGGAGACAACTCTACCAGAATGTCCATCCAGACAGACCTCTACACACAAGCTGTCATTTTTGACCACATCTCCAGAAGGAAGACTTAAGCACCAACACCCTAGATGGTTTCCTTATTGCTTGCTAATTTTAGACAAATTCTGTACTTAGCAACCAATTAGAATCATAAATGAGTCCTATAGCTGGAAGGCAAATTAAAACAATAAAAGTTAATAGAAAGAAAATGGTAATTCTTTTTATTGTATAGCTAGCCTACCTCTTGATCTGATTTGAGGTTTTTCTTTCCATTTTTTTTTTTTTCTTAAATTCTGAACACTAAGGCTGATTGCAACAGTTCATGGAAGAGAATCTTGTTGCCACTTCAAAGATACACTAATGAGTGACATATTTTGCAGCTCATATTTTCCAAAACAAAAATGTTCCAGGTCCCAGTGTTGCCAAATCTAGTGAACCCAACATTATACCATGTGGCAGCGCTAGCAGTGCTGGATCCTGGAATCACTGAATATTGATAAGGTGCCCCAAATGGGAAGATGGGCATAGGAAACACCAGATGGATATAAAGTTTTCAATACATACTGAGTAAATAAAATCTGAGGAATTCCATGAGATGATTATGAAATGCATAAAAGGTCTGATGCACTTATGGGTCTGGCAACCTGAATCTCATGGAATCTCATGACAGTGAAGCTTCAGAGATGAAATCTCAAGGAAACCAGAAGGTTTTAGAGAAACAAAAGAAATGAACATGTTTTCCCAATGTTCCCTGCGGGTGGCTGGGGAAGATATTATTCAGAGTCCACTCTTTATTTAAAATTAATAATTGGTTATCTTGTCTTTTGCATTCATTTCTCTTCCTTCTCTTAAGAACCTACTGCTGAGGCAGTTCAGTGGGGCCAAGCAAGGTGGCTGTCTGTTCTGTGTATATGTCAAGGATCAGGGGTGGATGTGGGGGAGCCCAGGACAGAGTGTCAGAGTTGAAACTGACAAGAAGGGTGAGTTCTTGGGGAGCTGATGATGTAACATGAAATGCCCAGTCCCAGGCAGGGTAAGTACAGTGATGTGAAACTGGATGTGTACATATTGGTGTGCCTTCCTAGTTTTCAATATACACAATATATGCCACAGATACAGAATCTGTGCATGTGTGTGTCTTAGTTATTTTTCTCACTGCTGAGGCAAAATATCTGACACTCAAAGTTAAAGAAGGAGGATTCATTGTAGCTCATTGTTCATAGAGGTTTCAGTTCATAGTTGGCTGGTTCCAAGGCAGCATGGTATGGCAGAGGAGAAACAGTTCATGGCAAGCAGAAGGCAGAAGGGAGCTAGGCAGCAAACAGTAAAGTACTGAAGCAGCAATAGCTCTCATGCTGTCCCTTATACTTTTTCCAAGCTACCTTCCCTAAGGGCATGTAGCACTCACACCCAGGACAGGGCACAGTTAATCCTACCATCACACTATGAATCAATTCCACCATCACATTTTTAATCTCAACAGCACACACTCTTGATCCAGCCACCTCCAACAAGCTCCACCTCTGATCACATGAGGCTTTGGAGGAATATCTAGAAATAAACCCTAACAATGTGCAAATGCATCCTCACGGGTATACACATGTCCACTGAGACAGAGAGGAACAGTAGTACTCCAGCATGAATAAGCACAACTAGTAGCCAGATCGTAGGTTCTCAGGTTCTCAGCCCCATTTTCCATGGAAAAGGAGCAGGGATCCCTGGGGAAATGACGGATTCAAGGCTGAGGCAAAACAAAATGAAACAGCCTGGAGAAGACTTCGCTAGAAAGCTAAGAGGTTAGAAGGAGATTTATCAGAAAGACACAGAACCCAGCCTGAAGGTTCCGACTGGCCCAATCTTGGTCAGCTTAGGAATCAAAAAACTAACGATAACTTCAGGAATCAAATAAGTAACTGTGAGTCCATATTGATCCACAGACATGAATAAGTTGGAAGTTAGCGGTACTTCACAAAATGCTTATTAATTATATATGGAATAATGGAAATGATAAAAGATACCAATTTTAGCAAGTTATTTGAAGTGAATATCATCAGTAATGAGGCAAACTGATTTTGTGCTTGCCCAAGTAAGATTTATGTCTGAATCAATCAATCAAAGATCACATGTTAAATTGGAACAGCAAGACTTATCTGATGCAACCAAGGAATGCAGCATCTCTTTTGTAACAGCCTGACAAGGTTGCACAACCTCAGTCTAATCAGGAGAAACTCAGACAAATCTGAGTCCAGGGACATCATGCAAAATAACTGGCCTGTAATCTTCTAAAGCGTCAGGTCATGAATGTAGAGCAAAGACAAAGTAACCAGTCCAGACCAAAGGAGACCATGAAGCCATGACAACCAAGTAGAAACCATTGTTCTGAGTTGGATTCTGATGCCATAAAGGTAATTTTGGGACAACTGGTAGAAATTTAATGTTTTCTGAAGAATAGATGGAAATGCTTAATAAATGAAAGTGCTTTTTTATTTATATTTTAATTTTTTAATTTAGAAAATTATTTTGTGGTTATACAACACAGTTTACTTAATGGTAGGAAATTGCACTAAAGTATTTGTGAGTCAAGGGGCATGGTATCAGCTATTTATAAATATTTCAGGGAGAAAGGTCATTGTGCTGTCTGCAATTCTTTGTAAGTGTGAGATAATTTTGCAATAAAATATTTGTTTTATTACATACATCATCTCAAAATCCTAGTTTCTTATACTTTAAGTACAATGTATAAATCTTATCATTCTATTCTTAAATATGACTAAATTTGAACAATTGCTTTAATGTGTTCTTCAATAGTTTAATTGACTAAAATTTTTTAAACATTTTAAATTTCATTTATCATCTCCATTATATTGAATTTTCTAAGTAAATAACAGAGCTTATCTATCAGATATTCTATTATGCCAGCTTCTTTTAAATACAACTTTAGAATATTTTAATTATACATATTAAAATATTTTAATTAGCATATTTACAAATTATTCCTATATTTAAACCCAAGATTTTAAAACACTAAATAACAAATTATATCATCAGTAAATTTTACATCAGCTTTTAAAATGAACATACTGAGAATAAATATTCACTGGAGGTTTGAGTTAACTAGAGGAGGTATTAGTTAACCCAAGCTGCCATAACCAAATACTACACACTGGGTGGTTTCAACAGCAGAAACTCCTCATAGTTCTACAGGATGGTGTTCTATCTAGGTGTGAACAGATTCGGTTTCTCCTGCAATCTCTCCTGCAGATGACCACAGTCAGAATGTATCCTCACTCGGTCTTTCATGTGTGCACATCCCTTTTTTTGACTCAAATCTCTTTCTGTCTCTCTCTGTCTCTGTCTGTCTGTCTCTCTCCTTCCCTCTCCCTCCCTCTCTCTCTCATTCTGTCTCTCTCTCTCTCTCTCTTCAGATTTTTCTTTTTATAAGACACAACTCAAACTGGATTAGGGCCCACCATAATGGATTTCATTTTAACTTAATTATTTCTTTAAAGGTTTTATCTCCAACGTATGCACACCTGGTTTCAACATGTGAATTTTGAATGCATGCAATTCATCCAATAACACAGCATGTAGACTACAAACATCCGCAACATTTTCTTATGATTATACCCTCTCAGCCAATGCTAAGCCAAGTGTAGGTCTGCAGGTATCCCAATTCCTTGCCTTTAAAGTTGAAATTGTCTTGCTGGCCAAGGACCCTGTATTCAAGTTTCATGTTAGCTAGTTCTCTCCTCTAATTTGAGTTTAGAACACCCACTCAGGGTGACTGATTATCAGTGAATCTACAACCTCTTTCTGTTTCTGTTTGCTTTCATATTCTTACTATCTTCGGGGCCACAAATCTCATAAACATTTAAGTGACATCTGATTTTGTTGAACATATCTCTCAAGCCCTGCCTTGCCTCATTGTGAAAGTTCTAAGGTCATGCTAAGCCTAATTAAGGTGACTCCTACCCAGTAAAAAGGAAAGACTGATTAGAAAACTGTTTGCATGAGTCCGGGTAAGCTTAGAGAGTAGTTTTAACTGACGTTAGTGGTTGAATACACAACCCAGGAAAGGGGACGTGTGAATATATATGAGAACTGGTAAAAAGACCAGAGGACCAACGAGACAAGACCCAAGATGGAACCGGCCCGGTGCACCTAGTGTTGCAACCAGAGCATTAAGGCCCAGACTATTTGGAAGGCTGAAGTTGATAACTGGCCAAATGACTGTCTCTCTAGACTTTGGCTCCTAGAGATCCCTTCAAAATACAAAACATCTGTGATTTCTCCTGCTGTTTCATTCATTTACTTTAGACTCAACAGAAGAGAATAGTCTTGAAAGTTAACCATAATTTCCTCCAAGTGATAGTTGGGGACACTGTTCAGGATTCTTGATAAATGTTACAAAAATATAATTTGAAATTTTATCATGAAAACTCCTGGATGTCTCCCAGAACTAAAACAAAGGACTATATATAATTCCAGGGAACATATAATAACTAAGTTTAAAAATTTAAACACCTCAGGTCACTATCTCATTATTAAGTTCCTTTGGTGCATCATGTTCTCATATTACAAAAGCCTCTTTGTTTCTCCAGAACTTTCTTATGCTAGAAAATATGGTTCCAGTGGTTCTACAGTCTAACTCATTCCCCCTCTCCCCTCTCTCTCTCTCTTTCTCCCACCATCCTCTGTTTCTCCCAAAATTCCAGAGAATTGTAATTTGCCCAGCTTCAATCAGGGTCTGGTCTCTACTAAAATTTAAAATCTAAAATGGTCAGGCTCTGCAGAATTTTTTTTTCACAATTACAATGACTAGAATAACCTTGGGGGTGAGTGAGAATTGTCAGAGAAGTGGATAATTCTGTGACAAAAAATATATGCAGTTCAGTGCAGCAGGGAGGTAAAATAGGAAAAAGTGAGGGAGAGAGTCAGAAATGCTCAGACACCGGGTCACTAAAGCAGTAATTCATTCTGTTTTCACGCTTATGAAAAAAGGAGTGGCAGTATGCCTAGAGGAGGCTTCTTATTTTGTGTTTCTTGTTTTGTGATACAACTTACTAAGATATCCAAGTGTATAGAAAAATTCAATCTATGACTGGCCTCTCAAAATTACTGGACCTTCTACACTAATATGATTTATAACAGTAGACAACTACTGTTATTCTACTTTCAAGGAAG